GACAGAGGAAGGACAAGAGGTTGATTTGGAACACCCAATATGGATTTACCAAGGGCAGTTTGGTCCTTGCAGAAGTGGAGATCATATTCCCAGACTCCAGCAAGGCCTTTGTCAGTGTATTCGTCAATATCTTTATTGCCAGACTAGTGAGATACAGACTGGATAAGCAGATAATGAGGTGGGTGGAAAACTGGTTCAACTGCAGGAATCAGAGGGTTGTTTGTAATCCCTCAGGCGTCCAAAGTCCAACTGGTGACCAGTTACCAGTTGCTTCGGGGATCAATACTCAGGCCAGGAGTGATTAATGTCTTCTTAATGACCAAGGCAACAGGCAGGGAGCAGTGCAAGTTCCTCCTGTGGAAGCAGTCAATCCATGGCGCTGCTGTTCAGAAGGACCTTGGTAAGTGTGTAGATACCAAGTGCAGGAGGGGATTCCTCCCCTCTGCTCAGCACCAATGAGGGCACAGATGGAGTGCTGTGCCCAGTCTGGGGCTACCATTAAAAGAAAGATATGGACTTTCAGGAGGAAGTGCAGCACAGGAGCACCAAAATGGTGAGGAGCAGGAGCACAGGACATCCAAGGAGAGGCAGAGGGAGCTGGGAGTGTTGAGGCTGCACAGAAGATTGGTGGACATTGCTTTTCAGAACCTGAACACATGCAAAAATCCACAGGTGCTCAAAACCAAATCCCTTGAAGGCACAGCCGACTCACTGTTAAAATGTTCATGAGGCGTGTGGATGTGGCACCTGGGGATATGGTTTAGGGGTGATGATGGTGGTGCTGGGTTGACAGTGGTGTCTTCCAACCTTAATGATTCTGGGATTAGTTGTTTCTGGGGTTGCCCCAATGCAGGTGCTGCCCCATTCACTTGGGCTCACTGAACCTCAGGAGGTTCTCATGGTGCCACTTCTCAAGCTTGTGCAGGCCCATCTGGATGGCCCCATCCTTTATTGTTTCCCCTGGCCTGCTCAGTCTCCTGTCACCTGCCAAGGTGCTGAGGGTGAGCTCGACCCCACTGTCTGTGTCAGTGGTAAAGACATTGCAGAGCCCTGGTCCCAAGGCCGAGCCCTGAGGGACACCCTTGTCCTCGGTCTCCTCCTGGACAAGGACCACTGGCCACAAGTCCCTGGCTGCATCCATGTATCCAATTGGTCATCCCCTGAGTTGCCCACCCTCCAAAGCCAGGGCTCTCCTGTGTGGGGATTGTGTGGGACCGTGTCCAAAGCCTCCCAGGGGTCTTGGCATATAAGGGCCTGCAGGTCTGGGGGTTGCCCATGGCCAGGCAAGGCCTGTTCCATATGGATACAAGCGGTTTCAGCTGCTTCCAGCTGGTTCCATGGTTTTTGGGGCGCCGGGGGTGGCCCTTTGTGACGCAGGGGCTGCGTCGTGACAAGAGGCCATTGTGACACCGCGGGTGGGGTCAATAAAGGGACGCAGAGCCCTGGGGTGCCCTCTTTTTGGAGAGCACCTCGCTCAGGAGGCAGCAGCTCCCTGAGAGCCTCTGAGGCAGAGAGAGATGGAGATGCTCAAGGAGAGGGCGAACTCCGACTCCCAAGCCGACAATGTCCTGTCCCAGTGGGAAGCCCAGGAAATCCAAGAGCTGTCCCAGTGGGAACATGTGGACTCTGAGGAACTGTCCCCCTGGGGATTTGAGAAATACCAAGAAGCACTGCAAGGACAGAGAGAGGAAAGAGTCTACGAGTTGTTCAATTGGGAATTCGAGAGGTCCCAAGAAGTGTTGCAATGGGGAGATGAAAGAGTCCAAGAGCTGCCCCAATGCAACAACCAAAGAATCCAAGAGCTGTCCCAATTGGAAGGGGAGACAGTGCAAGAAGTGTCCCCAGGGGGAGATGTGGAAGTCCAAGAGCCGAGCCAATGGGAAGGCAAGAGAGATGAAGAGCTGTGCCAAGCAGAAGACGACAATGACCAAGTGCTTTGGCAGTGGGAAGGCTGCGTGGAGCAAGAGCTGTCCGAAGGGGAAGTGAGAGCAGAGCCGGAGATGTCTGCAGGGGAAGTCAGAGTGAGAGGAGACCCAGAGCTGTCCCAAGAGGGTGACAACACTGACCAAGAGCTGTGGCAGGAGAACTGGGAAGGCATCAGCATCCACACCATCTGGGTCAACCCCAAGTACCCAGAGCTCCTGCAGAAGGCTCAGCGTGCGCCCCAGCGGTCAGCACAGGCAGCAGCTTCTCCTGCCTGGTGGGAAGAGGAGGAAGGGGCAGAGAGCCCAGGCCCTGCCCCGCACAGCCCCTGCTGCCCCCCAAGCCCCTCACCTCCCTGTTCGGAGGGGGCAATGTCAGGGGCAGAGCTGCCAGGGCCACAGCCTGAGCAGTGGTCCTTGGCCAAGGAGGAAACTGTGTGCAAATACGTCACCATCCGCACCATCTGGGTCAACCCCAAGTACCCAGAGCTCCTGCAGAAGCTTCAGCCTACTCCCCAGGAGTGGGCAGTGGCAGCATCTTCTCTTGGCTGCGCAGAGCAGGTGCCAGAGGCAGGGGCAGAGAGCCAGGTGCCCAGGAAACGTCCCTCCCGCTGCAGGCGGGTGCTGCGGGCTCTGCGCCGGCTGTTGCGGATCCCCTGCCTGGCGGGACGGCCGGAGGATTAGTGCCCACTGCCAGCAGCAGGCCGGGCCCCGGAGATGAGAGCTGAGCTGGAGCCTGCACAGCTCCCTGAGGGAGCAGCATGGGCTGGCCTGCATGGCCGGGCCTTAAAAGGATCAATTCCTTTTTGGGAGAATTGCCTGCCTCAGGTTTAGGACTTGACAGGCTCCAGTGATCCCAAACCTTGGGGTGGGGAGTGGGGGGTGGTTGTTTATAAAGCTAATTAGGATAAGAAGGGAGGGAATCTTTTAAGCACTAGAAGATAGAATACGAAGTAGTCTATTTAGTTAGATTAATAGTATTTTGCTAGTTTTATTGATGGAATAAAATAATGTAGTGTTTTCATAAGTAATAAGATATATTTGTCTACTAATTTATTTATGACAGTTGTTATTTGATAATATTTTATTTTAGAAATGTATACATAGTGAAAAGTTTTGATAGGAGTTGTTCTGGCCTGGTGAATTTGCCACCCAGAACCCCTTCCTGTGCAGAAGTGAAATAAAGAAATAAATAAAATACCTCAAGTCTGTGTGTGGAGATTGGCTTCTTGCACCCTGGGTGAAAGAATCTGTTTTGGGACAACATTTTCTCTGTGGACACTGTTACCAGTACAAGAAAGGTAGGCATTCTCTGGAGGAAGTGCAGCACAGGACCACCAAAATGGTCAGGAGCAGGAGCACAGGATGTACAAGGAGAGGCAGAGAGAGCTGGGACTGTTGAGGCTGGAGAAGACACAGCTGAAGGGAATCTATCACTGTCTGGACCTGGCTCGTTGGAGGTTGCAGAGGATGGAGCCAGGCTCTTCTTAGAAGTGGTGGGTGACGGGAGAAGAAGCAATGGGCACAGGTTGAAACCTTGGAATCTCTGATTAGATACCAGGAAAAAAAAAAAAATTATCATAAGTCTGGTAAGACTGGGGCCCAGGGAAGTTATGGGATCCCTGTCCCTGGAGAAACTGAACACTCACTTGCACAAGCCCTGAGCAGCCAGAGCTGCCTGACTCTCCGAAGAGCAATGGGTAACATTCAGTGACCTGCCTTCCACAGAATCAGAATATTCTGAGCTGGAAGGGACCCACAAGGCTCATCGAGTCCAACTCTTGGCCCTGCACAGGACCGTCCCCAACTCACACCATATGCTTGAGAACATTGTCCAGACACTCCTCGAGCTCTGTCAGCCTTGGTGCTGCGACCACTGCCCTGGGGAGCCTGTTCCAGCACCCAACCAGCCCATGGGTAAAGAACCCTTTCCTAATATCCAACCTAAACCTCCCTTGACACACCTCCAGGCCATTCCCAGGGGTCCTGTCCCTGGTGCCCACGTAGCAGAGATCAGTGCCTGCCCCTCCTGAGGAAGTTGTAACTGCAGTGGGGTCTCCCCTCAGTCTCCTCTTCTCCAGCTGAACTGACCAAGTGACCTCAGCTGCTCCTTCTACGGCTTCCCTTCCAGGTCCTTCTCCGACCTCAATTATTCTGTGATCCTAGTGATTCATCTTATATTTTGGGGTGTCCAAATACTGTCTCACTTTTTGTCCTTAATGTAGCCAAGTGAGCACAAATTTGAAACAATTCTGAGAGAAAAGGTACTGGGTAGGAATTCTCTGGTGCAAGGACATATCTACGGAGTGTAACAGGAGGAAAACCTAATGTGAGTTTCAGGGAGAGCAGCAAATGTATTTCTCCATGTTTCCTCTATCTATTATTTTTTTAGGATCCAAGCAGATTTTGCTTTAGCCTATGGTCTGTCCAAAGCTTTTTTGTTTTCTGATCAGTTTTCTGCCCAAATTAATTTAATGAAGAAGGCAATGCACCCAGCAGCCTGGTTTGAGCACAAAGTTAAACAAAGACCTAATGGCAATAAAATTATTTTGCATATTATCTTACACATGAAATACTGTGATTTTTTTTTTTTTAGGTTGCTGTTAGAGCACGTAATTTCACCATAAGTCATAAGGAAGGGAATATATTTTTCACATCTGTCTGGTTGCCTGAGGAATTACCATAACGTGATAAAGGGTACTAACAGTTAAACATAAAACTGAGTTGAAGGTGCCCTTTCATACGAATAAATCAGAAGTTTGAACAGTAGCATTTCCACTGGGCTGTTTTCCTACTAAAGTGCTATTATTTTATAATCTTATAGTGAGCAGTTGCACAACTCTGTTCCTCTCTGGCGTGTAGCCAGTCAACTCTGCTGTGTCTCAGGAGTTCAAGTTACATGAACAAATTTAATGTAGGTTTCAAACAAAGCGCTCATGGAGATAATGTATGCAAATGGACTGGACAAAGGTAAATGGAAAACATGGGATTGTCTATTTGGAGACATCTTTAGGAGTGGGGGTGTGTTCCCAGGTACTCCTACATAGGGGTGTAAGGTATGGCCTAAGCTTTCCCTTCTCCTTGCCTTCATTTTAATAGGAAAAAAAACAGGATGGTGCAACTGGAGTCTTCTGGATTCTGCAGGAGCTTTGTGAGTATAAACACAATAAATACAGCATCCAGGCACCAAAGTGTGGAAAGTAGATTATCTTTTATACAAATAAGGAACTGCCGGGTCTTCTGCGGTGTTTGCATCACTCCAACGTGGCCAGTCTGCCAACAAGCAGTTATTTGATCAACAGGACTTATGTCAGCACCTCTCATCCAAATATACAGGCAGTGCTCTCCAAGAAGATGGGATATTCATCTGGTTGTTGCTTTCCCCCGCATTTTAATCTAAATCAGTGTGTGGGAGAATGGGTAAAAAAAGATCAGAGATAGCTTGTTATAATTTACCACGTGCATTTGGACTGTTGGTATCAGCCTTTTTGGAGCTGCTCCATTGTTTTTTTCTTCCTTTCCTTCTGCGTTGCTCAATCTTCTGGTCACAACTGGGAGCACAAATAGCATAGTTTATAATCTTGGAAGCATGAGTAATACATGTTATCTTGAACTGCAGGCTAGCTATAAAAATAGCTGCAAATATTAACTATAAATATATAATATCAGAAATATTGTGGGGGGAAAAAAGAAGCTATAAAATTTTTCAGAAGGCCGTTATTTTTCTCAGTTCTGCCTAGCTGCGTGTGGAGCCGTATCCATGCACTTTGGAGACAGCTGTGTTGGGGCCCATGTTTTCTCTGTTTTTGTGACTCTGGATACCTCCTACAGCCTGGATTCTCCCCTTAGCTAATGGTTAATGGAATTCTAGCTGAGGTGATAAACCCTGCTTCCTGCTTCAACCTACACAGCCTCTTCCCTCCCCCTCCTCCCCATTCCCAGTAACACTGATCAGAGAAGAGGGTTAACTGGGGATTTGCATCTCTCCACCTCCTCCACTGCTTCACACTGCTCGCCTTTGCATCTGCATTGGAGATTGCTCCATATCTGAACAAAAGGAAAAAGTCTTCAGCCAGAAGAATGGGGATGGTATGTGTAAAAATAAAATTAAAAAAAAAATCAGCTAGTGCTGTTTCTGTTGCTGGTTTTGTGCTTTTTCTGGCTCAGTGCTGGCTTAGTTTACGTGGCATTCTCGGGGAACAGGATTGGATTTTGGGAAAGAGAATCCCACCTTTCAACTCAGCAAGTCTAAGATCTTCTGCATGACAAATCTCACTTCCTTCTTTGACTGGGGAACAGGCTTTGTGGAGAGAAGACAGAGAGAGACAGACAGACAGAAAGACAGGGGTAGGATGTGATACAGATGCCTAAATTTAGGTTCCTGGAGTGTAGGTGACTTCATGTGAGCTGACCTTCTGCATTAGGATAAACTGAATTGCCCTCCAATACTGTTCATTATATAGTGGAGTCAACAGAAATAGTTTAGGACACCTACATTTGGGACCTATTCCCTCTTTTAGTACTTTATCCTAACCTGAGTAAGGCTTTTGAAATAATATTTGGATGCTACACTTTTCTTATTTTCTTCTATTTTTAAGGGTACTGTTGTGCCTTAGGGTAACATGTACAAATACAGCATCGCTTTTTTTGACAATTCCACATTTGCATTATTGTTAACCATTTATTTGATTACATTTCTATAGGGAAGTCAGTAAAATATTTTAATCTTGATAAATCTACCACTGCAGAGTGGGAGTAAAAACTTGCTTGGATGGCTGTGCCCCAAGAGCAGTTTTTTCAGGGGTTCACTGTCAAAAGAGTGGCAACTTTTGTAAAAAGACTTCTAGGTCTACAGGAGGCCAAAAGCTGAGCATCAGTGGCAAAAAAGTAGACACAGCAGAAGTGTTTATATGGAAGTGTTATGGAAGTAGAAATGAGAGCATTGCAGGCAAATGAGGGAAGGACTCTCTCCTCCCTGCTCCTTAGTTGATCAGGATGAAGTTTTGTCTCCAACAGGAAGAGATTGAGCACATTTAAAGACAGCCCCGAGGCAAGTGGTGGGAAAGGTCAGGAGGAAAACCTCCCTCCCTGGAGTTCCAAGGAAATACTGTAGTATTGTTTAGCTTAAAGCAATTGAAGTCAAGGAGGAGCATAAATTCTGCAAATTCTGCATGTGCATATGAGCTGGAAGGTGTAGTAGTTTCTAAATCCGTTTGGAATTTTGCATCCAAAAATCATTTTTTATTCCTTTGATATGCATACCCTGGACACAATCTGCAGACAGAGCAGAACTCAATCAATAATTGTTCTTTTGAAAGCACACAAACTGCATAATGTTTATAAATCCCAAATGATGTCACTGGGCAGGTGAATGAGAGCAGAACAATGGCGAGGGCTACACTCCTCTGAGCTATGGAGTTGCTCCTTAG